CTACTAGGAAAGGTTATCCCCACTCCCTCAACCAGCAGAGGTCAAAATACACCACCCACCCTCCAGTCCCAAATTCAGAGCTTCCCATAGCACAAATGACACAAGTTACATGAGTGTGGCTAATGGTTATTGTTCATCACAGTGCAGCATTGCCACCAATCTCCTTGGCTGGGCAGCGCCACCCAAGGCTCCTGCTGAGGCAGCATTCCCATGGCCACCCCCCACCCTAGAGTGCGTGACCCTGACACAAACCTTTGTGGGTGCCCAGCCCTGTCATGGGGAATGTTGTGGGGGCTGGAGCACCCATGGCCCCCTGCCTATGCATGGGCCCCTCTGCAGAATTTCTTGCCTTTTCTCAACTCTCTGTCTGGATTCCACTGCCTGAATCGTGGTTCTGGTTTTGGATCATCTCACTTTGCTCCTGATCCTGCAGTCTTTCACATTTAACATCCAGTTACTTTCATTATCATATGAAACCCAATAGGTACAACATAGTCACTTTTCCCATTCTCCTCTCCCTTTTCTGGTCCTTGATTGCAGCCAATTACTCACCCTAGCTGAAGGAAGGAGGAGTCTGAATCACTGGCTTGGAGGGGGAGGAGTCTGAGTCACTGTTGGCTGCAAGGGAGGAAAGCAGAGGGAGCAGAACACGCTCTCTCCTTCCTCCAAAACCCCATTCTCATTTTACTTAAATGGCAGCATTGATCATTCAGCTTCTGGCACAATCAATTCCAGAACAGATACTGCCAATATAAGCTAATGTTTTCAGACTGAAATGGTCTTTATAAAAGTGGGTTCGTGTTAACTTCCCAGTTTTAAGAAGTCATGATATTATTCAGAATCTGGTAAAGCTTTTATTTTATTTTTAGAAAAACGTGATGATCTGAAAGGGAGTGAAGTTCCGTAATTTAAGTCAAATCACGTATGCTTACAGTTTTAAATTCTGTGGCATTAAGAGCTTTCCCCCCATGGGAGTGATTTATGAGTCAAGAAAACAGCAGTTCTGTACACGTAGCACATTGACCAGACTTCTTTTCTTTTCTTTATAATGCTCTTATGTGACTGTACAAACCAGGCCTTCTTTCTCTCTGCAGCCATTTCCCCATTGACTTCCCTGTGCTTGTAGCATTAATAAATGTACTGAGGAAGTGAGGAGGGAAACATGTACAACTAGAAAAGAGCTATAAGAGAGAGAAAGGGACAAGCAAAGCAGTGGTGTAATGAAGAACAACAAAAAGCTCTTGGATCTTTTGGAAAAAATGAATGTGGTATGAGGACTACCAGCTTCTCCAGAGGATTGAAGGGGCCCAATGTGACGTTGCACGCACAACTGTGCAAGGAGCCAGGGGGCAGAGCTGAACGTGCTCTGAAAATTGAAGGGGCCTGGGCCCCTCCAAAAATGTATTGGGAGGGGAGAGTGCCTCAGCTCCTAGGAGTTATGCCTATGAGGACTACTATGATTAAAAACTAGTAGATGTCAATTTTGAAAGACACCAGCAGTCATGTGGAGACTAGGTAGACGGGGCAGTTATTCAGTGAAGCAAATTGATGCATTCTGCATAATAGAAGAGAGACTGCAGATCTTCCTTTCCTTTCCTTTCCTTTCCTGACATCTCACTACTTCTTGAGCTGCAGAGTAAGTTGGCAATGGGGAGGGGATGTGACGCTGGCAGCAGCTAGTACTGCTGAATGACTTATCCTCAGTACCTCAAGAGGAATCCATGGGTCTTCTGTTCAGCCTCTCATTCCTTTCCATGGGAACCTAGTGCCCTGTTTGTGGCCATCACTACCTCTTGTGCAAATGAATTCCATATACCTTCCCAGATATCTGTCCCAATACAGCTGGTAACATCCAAATAAGTATGCATGTATCGCTTACTGAATCAGGAACTACTTGTGTACATCAGATGTGCATCCACACATGCATGTTGGGGTATTGATATTGTATATCCACATTGCATTGCTTGCAGCTGGATGAATCCACCTTCTGGCACAATAAGTCACTTATAAATAGCTTTTCAAAAAAGTGTGACTAGAGCAGATTGAAGCAGTCAGGTTTTTGAAAACAAATAGCTATGGCCATTATCCAAATTCTACTATCTCCACCTCTCACAAAGAGGGGGAGGATGCAGCAGACAGGAAGCTAGGAGTGGAAATGTGGCTGGAGTTGGAGCAAAACTCTGGGAAAAGGAAGGATTTTCCTGCACCTGCCAATCCCCTTTTCTTCTTGATTGAGTTCATGCCTGTGGAGCATTTGGTGTGTGTGTGCTTGTGCACGCATATGCATATATGCATGGGGGGGCGGGACTGTATGAGGGTGAGTGATAGTGGGGTGGACCAGTGGCCAATAAGAGGAAGAAATTTCCTTTTCTGGAAGTTCTTTTCCTTTCCAGTTTTCTCTGCCCAGCTGGTAGGGCTGCTTGGAGACTCCACAGCTTCATAAGTCTGAGGGATGGTTACATTGTGGTAAGCATTTGTCACTGTGGCCATTTACTACCTTCATCTTAAGCAATACTGAGATTGTGTGTGTGTGTGTGTGTGTGTGTGAGAGAGAGAGAGAGAGAGAGAGAGAGAGAGAGAGAGAGAGAATTTTGAAATAATTATATCTAACAGTACAGATTTGCAAATTGTACTCTACTTTTTTGCCCATGCTGGCTGGGACTGATGGGTGTTAACCAACATCTAGAGGGGCACCACTTTTCAATAGATTATTCTCCCCCCCCCTTATTTGCACAACAGAAGTGCGTGTCTCGCTTACACATAGTGTTGAGTTAACAACTTATATCTAATTTATGCAGAAGGTCTACTTTTTGTCTTCTGAAGTGTCTGTTGGCATTGATTGGATCCAAGGAAGACATGTCGTGATTGCAAGGTAGTGATCAGCAGGGTTTTGTTTTTGTTTTTTCCTTTATGAAGAGCAAGGTCCCCTTTCCTTCCAAGAAGTGGGGATTCTCAAAGATAAAAATATATATGAAAGGGTCACATTCTCAAAAACCAAAGCCATACAAGCATTGTTGGAGATACAACAGGAAGCAACTTGGTTCATCTGTAAGTTTTCCTTAAGCATGTTTTGTAACCTCACATCATTTATGCAACTGTCTGTTGGTCTCATTTTTAGAGACTGTTTTAATGTAAGCAATTTTGCTAGAAGACCAACAAGAGATGCAGCTGGAATGATCCTTTAGCCTGTTCTTGCCAGCTTCAAATCAATTTACCCATGTTGGCCTGATGTCAAGAATGAATAGTGAGCAGGTGCATCCTGGCAATCCACACAACATTTGGCTTAAGCTGTCTTTAGAGGTACTGTTTCTCATAGAGTTTGAATCAGTCTTATAGGTGGCTTTTACTACAAAATATGTTTCCCCTCACATCTATGGCAACTGTGCAATATTCATGGTTTTGTGCCTGAGAAACTTTATAGTTTCATATTTAGAGCACTGGCTTCTCTTTTATGCATTCTCGTTCTATCTTATTCCCATTTTGATGGCTTTCCTTCATGTTATTCTGTACATATACCATATTTGCCCGAATATAAGCCACACCCAAATATAAGCTGCACCTTTAAAATTCAAAGGGGGGGGGGAGAAAAAAAAGACAATGCCCCAATATAAGCCACTCCCTCAAAATTCCACAGGCACTATTTTGAATAAACACTCATAAACTTTTTATTGATAACAACCAGTTAGACAAATTAAGGATTCATACAACTTTGTAACATGCAGAGAATAGCTTTTATAGAGAAACCAGAGATTGGAACTGAGGGAAGTCAGGGGTGGGGTGGGGAGGTTGGGTTGTTGTATGGGAGGGAGGGGATGGGGAAAATGGGGGGGGGGAATAAAGGATGATATGTGTTTAAGATAATATGTTTTGTTTAAATTCCTAATAAAAATTTAATAAAATAAAATAAAATTCCACAGGCACTCACACCCATTCAGTTTTACTGTATGTCTGTTTCAGCAGCGATATCGTAAAAGCCAGTTTTTGTAAGGTTGCGAATTTAAGCCACACTTAAAGTTTTCAACGGTCAGAATTTGGAAAAAAGGTGAGACCTATATTCAGGCCAGTACAGTGCACACCTACCACAAACTCAACCTGATTAATGTATCTGATGCAATACACCTCAGTTCTTCATGCCACTGTAACAGTGCAATCCTAAGCAAAAGTTAGTCACACTGGGTTCAATGGGAATTTCCCTTCAAATTAGCTTAAATCGGATAGTTTCCAAGGTGCCACAGCACTCTTTATTTTAGTGTTTGGTCTTCCCAAAAATGGGAGTGACCATTCTAACGTTGAGATTGCTGAGCACCACACATAGCGAGCACTTATATTTCCATAGTGAATGGATTCTGGAAAAGAGCCATCTGTATCCACAAGATCCTCATCCTGTTATCTATGTACAACATCAGCATTCCTCTGTGACAAAAGAAGAATCATGTCTCTCCATTGTTGGCTATTGTGGGAAGCAAGAAAATGGTTTAGATGGAACAGTGTGCTATTCTTGTTTGGCATGTTCCATTTGGATATAGGCACCAAATTATGTGGGCCTGCTTTGGCTAAAATCCACCCATATGGAGGACAGGCTGTTCTCTAAGCTGCCTGATCCTTGGAATCCCTTTAAAAATTACCATTCTGGGCTTCTGTGTATCTGGTTTTGTCCAGTTATTTGCCAGGTATGATGGGCTAAGCTTGGTTTCTGTTGTGCTCACAGTCCTACTTGGGGACAGGCCATTTTTGTTTCTTTGTTTGCATTTACTTTGAAGGTGAGAAACTTGCCCAAGTTGAGAGCAAAGTAAACTGAAAATTTTAACAACCCACCCCCACCACCTTTTACCATGCTGGAGGATGGTGAGGTGATAAACACTAATTTATCTAAATTGATATTAAATGCTATCTTACATAATGCAGAGATTCCATAGTCCTGACATAAATGGCAATGATCTAATAGCAAAATATTCAGCAAGTTGTTTCTCTCTCTCCCCCCCCCTTCTATCTCTCCACAGTCACTTTCTGGAAAGTAGCAATCCTACAGTCTTCTCCTTGGAACAAAGTACCCTGTATGTGAAATGACAGGGTTCTGCATGCTTGGCTATCGAGAGAACTGAGTGAACATTGCTAAGTGCTTTATAATAACTATGATTATACCACCCTCTCTTAATGATGCTGTTCTTAGGAGCCAGAAACTTTTTTCAGGGAAGCGGTAGTGGGGAGAGCAGTTGGTAGATTAACAAAGGACACATCAAGCAGGTTGGCACTCAGTATCCCAGGAATATATGATATGTAAGCGGGGGGGGGGGGGAGAGAAGCAAACTAGCACAACACAGCCAGTGGATTAATGTAACTGGAAGCTTATACAACCCAGTCACTTAAAATGGCCAGAAGACTGCTGAAACCATATACCGAACACATGCAAGAAGCCACTGCTTTGAAATTTGTACTTAAATGTCTTCTTCAGTTCTCTCTTGCTGCTAGCCTTTTTACACAAAGAATATCTTTCAGCCTTTGGAGGAGGTTTGCATTTTGAAGTCTAAGTAACTACTTGAGATGCTCCATGCCAAGTTAGCTGAAGTATGTCTACCTCCATGTGTCCTTGCACATGGCCAATTTTGTGCCTAAGAAGCAGAAGTTGGCAGAAGATATCTTTCCCCCTCCGTATAAAAAGTGTTTGAAAGACTGCCACCATAGAGTGATGCTAGCCTGAAAAACCACTTGGGTCCTGGCAAGATGGAGGCACTGTGGGTGAGTCGTTCCCATGCCGAGTAAACTGCTCAGCTGCCAACCCTAGGTGGAATTGTACTCTCCCTGAAGGAGCAGGCTCACAGTTTGGGTGTGCTTCCGGATCCAGCTTTGTCACTGGAGGCTCAGGTAGTCTCACTGGCTGGAAGTGCTGCTGAGTTGTTTCTTATGTGTTTGTGTGTGAAGCTTGTTTCTTGTATAGTCACCAAGTTTAGAATTCTGTAGTAGAATTCCCTAGTTCTGCAATCAGCATCAGTTATGCTAATTTTTCAAAAGCTGCGTAATATCATATCAATGAAATATCCTTCTTACTCTTTTGCCCATGTTATTCCAGATCCTTGAGATATTTTCCTAACTTTACAAAAGCTGGATCTGCTGTAATGAAGGCAAAGAAAGAAGAGAAGTTTTTAGAGCACCAATGCCTGGGACTGGCAGGGCTCTGACAGGTGTGTGACAGAGGCAGGGGAGCTGGAGGCTGACATAGGAAAGAGGGCCAGGTACTTATGTGGGTTTGGTGTTATCCACGAGGCAGGAGCCAAGGTGGAGGGAGCAGGAAAGATCCGAGCAGTCAGAGATGAAGGTGGGGGGCACAGGATGTGTCTGAAGTGGAGGAAGAGGCTGTTCAGGTGAGGGGCAGGTCAGTCAAATCCCCACTGTACCCTACTCAGCTGTCTCCTAGAACCAGCAGGGGCTTGAAGAGGGAAGCACAGGGTAGGTACAGGAGAAGTCTCAGGTTGCATGCACCTACTCCATCAGACAGGGGAACAAAAGCCCTGGAGGTGGGCATGGTCCTGCTGCTGCATCAACTCTGCCAAGCACAAACCAGAAAAAGTTAAAGCCAGCTATGTAGATGCTGGAAGTCTGTTTGTATCTGGTGTACCTTAGGAGCTGCTGTAAGGGTGTGTTTTCTTCAATAAAGAATTAACTTTCAGTCATTTGCCTTCCTTGGCTGGGTGTGTTCAGAACAGCAAGGGACTGCTGGACAGGGGCTATCAGTATTGCAGAAGTCCCATTCTGTACACCAGAAACTCCTGTGCCCAAGATCTATTTTGTATCTTTATCAAACTGACACCTAAACATTTGTATAGGTTTCACTGCACTTTAAAATGTAAGAATTAATTAATTAGTTAAACATTAAACTTGATTCTGTTTGTTTGTTTGTTTGTTTGTTTGTTTGTTTGTTTGTTTGTTTGTTTGTATGAAAACCATCTCATGCTTTGGTAAGTTCTGTGCTGTGATATTCCATTTCCATCTTGCAACTATCCTTTCCCTCTTTTGCTCCTCAAGAAGAAACACAGACTCTTTCTTCTTCTTCTTCTTCTTCTTCTTCTTCTTCTTCTTCTTCTTCTTCTTCTTCTTCTTCTTCTTCTTCTTCTTCTTCTTCTTCTTGGTATCACCTCCAGTTTATGTGCTGCATTCCCAGTTTTCCTCTCTGTTGACTGCATCATGCAAGCAGCCAGGTTGTCTTTTATAACAATTGCATCACAATGTAACTTTTTGTTGCCACAGTTACAGACATCATTATAGATGTGCAAAAGAGCTGACCAGCAGAATGATTAAGAAAGTAGTATCATCTGCCAGGCATTGCCATGACTTCTGAGCTTTTGCCAGCTCTTTCAGTGCCAGCTCTGTCTCTTGGCTAGCTCTGCAAGAAGCGGCTTCTGTGTTCCTATCTTGTCTGAGACAATAAATTCCCAGGCCCTATCTTAGTAGTAACTGGGCTGTTCTTCTGGATTACTTAGCTTTCGCATGCTGTTCCTTTCTGTGATGACCCTTCTGTTCCTCTTCCACCTCCCGAGAGAATTACAGATTATACACAGAACAAACAAACAGTCTAGTGCCTTAATAATTCAAGCTTCTTGCTGAGCTTCCATTAGATGTGCTATCCTAGAGCCCCCAGTCTTTCTTATCCCGAGAGTTCAGAGGAGATGGCATCTTTTCAACCACTCTGTCCTCATAAGAATACAAAATAATGCATAGATGGAAGCTTTGAAATAAGCTTCTGCCACTGACTCACATTGAGGCATGCAAAGGTTCTGAGTGAGTTGCAACTGAAATGGATAGAGAATTCTTTTCAGATAGTAAGTACTATACAGTTGTGCCCTCCTCACTTATTAGTTCAGATGGGCAGACTCGCCTGGTCCTACTTATTTGTGGTCTGTGCTTACTGAGTTCACTTCCCAGGAAACTTGGGAAAGCTTCATGGTTCATCATGTTGGTACATACACACTGATGGTGCTTCATCCATGCTCACAATCTTATTGCTTTTGTGGATTTATAGAACTGATGCATTGAATTTATAGCATGGTATACAATGATAGTCTTGCCTCACACTACACCTTGTGACTGGTTCCGTGTCTGTGCTATATGGGACAAAATGAAGCAATTAAAAAAGGCCAAACCAACTTCAGCTTTGACCTTGTTGCCTAAACAGCATGATGATGCTGGGAAGGAACATTGAAGTGGATATCACATTTGCTGAAGTATAATGCAATAGTGGTGAGGTGTGTGAATATTGAAAAAAGTTTTCCTTCATAGAAATGGGTTAAATAAAAAGCAAGGCTGCAACACTATGCAAACCTTCCTGGGGAATAAGCCCCATTGAACACAGTGGGACTTTCCCTATAGGATTGGCCAACACATATCAGCTTAGTGAATTACTGTCTGCATGCATCTTTGCCCCAATCATACACAGCATGAGTCAGGGAGGAGGCACTGGAAACAGAAATGAATTAGAATGCCTTCTGCATCTTATTCTCTGCAACACTGAGTAAAATGGAATGTCATGGCAAATCTCCCATGGTGCATGTAGGGATGCTTGAGGAATTCAGTCTTTGAAAAAACTGATATGAACTGACCTTATTCTCACCTCACAAACTAATGTGCAGATCAGAATGCAGTTACCTGCCAGCTTATACACTTCCGGAATTTTCTGAAGCCGTTCCTGACAGAAAAGCTGAGATAAAATATGTTTAAAAATGAGTATTTTGAGAAAACACATTCCTATAAATCTATTTTTTTGCATATTTAAATAAGTATTTTCATGAATTAATGTGGAAATGGGACAGAACAAAGTTATCAGTGCACACCTTAGAAAGTAGCATGGACACCAATTCACCCCCCCTCCTAGTTGCATCCCATTATTGCTTTGCATCTTTGCAACCGGTTTAATTGCACATGTTCACTGTGATTACACTGTGAATATGTTACTCCTTTGTGGGTGTGGGTGTACACTTTGCATTAGGATGGCAATAGTTGTGGTGATCTAATAAAAAACAGCAAACTCAGATGTGTGATATGATGCACCTGTATGTGCTCAGCACACACATGCACATGAACAGTTAATGTGAAGTAGAGTATGCTAGCGTGGAGAAAGTTGTTTAGCTTGGTTTTGGCCATTGAATGAAATAGAATCCTATGTCACAGCCAATGCTGTTGGTCATTCAGTGCAGGTGTGATTGTTAGCTTCTTGTCTTTCAAGGTATCTGGGAGCCCTGGCTATTGGGTTTCTCTTTCTTTGCCTGGATATGTCACTATTAACACAAGAAGCTGAGGATGGCAGACTTCTAAATATGTCTGACCCCAATTTCCTTGTTTTCATCCAGCTATAATTCCATAGATGATTCAAGCGATTAATGAGATGCCCTCCTTGACACACACACACACACACACACACACCACACACACACACACCACTTTTCTCTCTCCCTGTTCCCACTATTATGATTGGGTGGAACAAATGCACCTTCTTCAGTTCTCCCCCTTTTTGCTTAGATTCCAGGAGCCACAGAAGCTGCTGAGCAAAAAGAGAGAGCCAATAATGAAGAATACCACATGACACTTCTTCTTCAAATGCTGAATAAGCTGTTGCTGGCTTGCACATTTTATAATAAGAGTGTTCCCCGACATTAAGCCTGCATCGAAATACCCTTTCTTTTGGCTGCATTTTACAAAACAGTACATTATGTGCATAATAAAAGAAGTTGAGTTGCATGTGGCGTGGGGAAGGGTTAACCCAGATTTTGGGCAGGACTGTTTGTTTAAAATATTGTTATACTGCCTTTAAAGACAAAAGTTCTCTCAATATGGCTTATGAATGACATATGTAGAACAATGGTTGGCATCCTCCTGTCTCGGGAGACAATGGAAGACACATGGAACAAGAAGAGCATAATATACATTTAACTTAAGGTGGCAGCATAAATATTACAGACACAAATGTCTGTCCTAACCTGAGAATAGTAGTGTACATCCATTCTTTATGCCCCCTTCTCTTCAATTTGTTTCTCAGGTTAACTGCAGCATCAAGAAGTTCTCTTCC